CACCTCTTCTCCTCCCCCTTTCTTCCTTGAATGCCAAATAACAACGGCTTGCTTCAGCACACGAAATTAGCCCAAGTCTTGGTCTGCCTTCCAAGCTAGCAGTGAAGTTCAGCATAAGCTGTACTTGGCTCCAGAGCAATATTTGTGCCTGTTCTTGTATTTAGTGTGTAAAAGCTGGATACCAGATAAGGAATTCTTTTCAGTTTCTCAGTCCTTTTTCTCAAAATTGTCAGCTGTAGTTCAGGAATTTAGGATACACTCTCTCAAGTGTTAACTAACTTTCTTCTTAGAAAAACTTGCAGTGTGTGTCCACAGTCATGCGATTGCCTGACACTACTTGATTTTATTTAGATATTCTCCTACCTTGCTTACACATATGATGTAAATGGAAGAGTCAGCCTTTAACATTTTTTTTACCCTGTTTTCTCTTTGTAATTTCCGCAGATAACAGATTTACTGGATTTTTGGCCTGGAGTTGGTTTTCCAGGATATTAATTGCAAAGCTGATTCTTTTTCCACACTGTTTTAGCTTGAGAGAGTTTCTGGGGTTTTTTTTTCCTGAAATATTTGTATGTGTATGTACTTCTAGATCTTTATCGAATCAGTGCATTCCAGTTTCTCTCACCTATTATAGACCTGGCACTCCTATTTTCTTTTAAGAATGAATTTTGTTCCCCCACCTACTGGATTAGATTTTAAATGTCACTTTAGCTCCAAAACCCTGTTTTCTCAGTTGAAGTGTTAGTTCTTCTCCGAACCTGGGCAGCCAGAGCAGGGTTGGTCAGTGGGGATGCTGAGCCCACTTTCTTGCACCTTCTATTTTAACCTGGGTTTAATGCCATGCACTGTTAGCCTGTAGGAAGAATGAGACCTGCTCTGCTGCATAGTTCCTGAAATGTACGTCACCTGTGTTAAGTCATTATTACTAAACCTGAGCTGTCGTTCTATGTCAGTTTTCACTGTTATTTTCTAATGCAATGTGTACTCAGGTGTACATGCGGATCCTTTCCAAATAAGGGATTCTGAAAGAAAGCCAACTTCCTGCAGTCGTTTTCATGCTACTCTCACAGTGCTTCCTGATAATGTGTGGTTTTATTTGACATTCAGATTACTTTGCCTACACACCGTGGAAATGAAAACATTTCTAGGTTCACTGGAAATTTTTATTGATCTTCAGCA